ACTTTTCTGGGAAAGCCTGATATTCTGACTTCAGTTTTGTAATTTAATGATGGAGAATTTCCTTAGTAAACCAAATTTAGAGTCCTAGAATGCTTATCTTATATCCAGACCTTGAACATAAAAGGCATTTTCTACCCGCAATTGTTCATTTAATGAGCAATTGCAGAGTGCAGGCCGGTTGAGGGATTGAGCTATATGCACTATTATTGCAAGAAGTATTCCGAAATACCAGAAATAGGACGTAAGCTCTGATCAGGGAGACTACGAGCACAATTACCTTCTTTTCAAATCCTTCTGTGACACTGCGGGAGGAAAAAGGACTTTGAAACTTGAAAGGAAAGAGCTTGCTTTCAACCTCAAAAGCTAGGAGGAAGGGCTCTGAAATTTGCTCAGAATTCCCAATTCACCATTAGCCTGTTTCTTCCTTTAGCCTCAAGGCATTCTCTGCTTTTTGAAAAGATGTTAAGAAATTCAGTCACAATAGAGAGCCTAGTTTTGAACATGTTTCACTCGGTCCATTGAGGTCTGGGCTCCAGCCTTTGTGTGGGGTGAATTGAGCTGAGAGGGTAGCTGGTTGGAGAGAGCCGAATGAGGAGTCGCTGTGCAGTCGCAAATTCTGGCAAAGAAAAAAAGCTCACCCCTTCCTTTATTTTACAATATGCATTCCTGTACAATCCTGCTAGTGGCAATACGAGGAGCTGAGCCTGTCCCTAAGTCAATACGGAGTACTTGGTTTATAGCAACTCTTGTGAAGTTTGTCTTGTAATTGAAGCTGCTGTTGACCTTGCTTGGGGACCATTTGTAAAACCGTTTATTTAGCATAAACTGAAATAATAAACCCTCCTTCTCCGGGCCGATTGTGATAGGGTGACATTAGTTTGATTTAATGATTAGCCGCCTGACCCTTCTGCTGGAGAGAGCTGCTTGAATAGCGAGAGTTCACTCCGAAGCACTCGCAAAGAATACTAATGAGCTTGTTAAATTTAGCATGGCTCCAACCACTTTTAATTCCTCTAATGGGAGCCTGGGAGGAGAGGGAGAGGGAGAGGCAGAGAGTGGCCAAGAGAATATTCCTAGAGGGTCTGCACAGCTGGAGAAAGCTCCCCAAGAGAAGTTTGCAGAAAGTAGCTAGCCAGAGCTCTCGGGCACTGAGTTGTAAGTATGATTTGCTCTCTTACCCTCCGTGGCTTTCAGGTCTGGGGCAAGAGGGGAGTAATGGTATTAAAACAGGATTGTAGCGGGGGTGGGGGGCATCAGCAGAACATCAGTGTTAAGGGAAAGGATGGCAAGCACGTGTACTATGAGCTCCCCATCAGCCCGTTTATTTAAGTGACGGGGGGTGAGATGGAGTGAGGGCAGAGAGAGAGGACGGGGGGGAAGGGAAGAGAGAAGGAGCAGTGGAGGTGGGGGGAGGGGGGGGTGTCCCTACTTAGCGATGCCCGGCAGAATCTGGTTTTTACATTCGAAAAATTGTCTGAAACTTTTCACTGAAATCCCGTGCAAAAAAGAACGTGCCTCCTCCTCTGAAATGACAAACTGCACAGGAGGTTAGAAGCCAACATTCAGGAGTATATGTGTGAGTCTTGCTTCGTGCAGTAGGATCACTTTGTCCAGACATTTATGATCAACATCCTAAGCACTGTCTGCAATGAAGCGGCGTTTGATTTTTCTGAGTTGCTGACACGGAGGGTGCCTGAGTCCTTGACTGTTGCTTTTGGATGAGTTTAGAAAATCTAGGGCAGCTTCTAAAATGGGATGCTTTTGGGGGCAGGAGTTTGTTGCCTTGCACTCGAACGAGGATATACATAAAAAAAAAGGAGGTAAAAAAGTGGGATTGTGGTGATGGTATTACAAGTCCATTTTTTTCCTGAAAGTGTTTCGTGAATTGCACGTTTCGGTTTGACCTCTGGGTTTGCAGCTGTTAAGCAGAGAGAAGCTCGAACAGTTGCTCAGTGTTTGGCTGTTAAAGTGCATTGGCAGATGCTCTCGGAGCAGTGGGCTGTTTGCTTACATTTTTGCAGCCGACTTCTGCTTGTTGCCATGGTGGACATTATGTTTCTGTCAATAATTTGGCCTGGCGTACCCTGTCTGCACTGACTCTCAAACTTTATTGAACAGCTTGGCTCAGCTGAACAAGATGAGACAGCTTTGGTCTTTTTGGCTTGCTGCAGTGGTTGCTGGGTTCATAAGAGCAGGCAGGAATATAGCTTGCAAAGTTTCTCTATCCCCAAACGCACAGTGCTTTCAAGACTGGTAGCTGTTTGTATTCAGAAGCATGTGTACTGTCAGGTTTTTATCTGTGAGTGCATCAAAAGCAACTCTGCACGAGGTAAACTTCATGAAATGTTTGTGTGCTGGAATTTTCTTTCTTTTTTTTTGGCAGGGGGATACTGGGAAGAAATACAGCACTAACTACTGTAAAATGTACTGGTGAATGTTTCTACATCTAAAAATATTCTCACTTGCATTTAGTTTTACTAAAGGAAGAACTTATTTTCTGTATTCAGTATTTGAACTTTGGTTACTTCTTGTTATAACTTTCATATTCGCACATGTTGGGGTAACTCTCATGGAAAGCATCATGTAGCTGACAGGCTACATTTCCACACGATTCTCCCGTCTGCTGGTTCCTTCTCCCTGGAGGTTGGCGGAAAGGCTGTCTGATCAGACTATACTGATTATTCAATTATTGGTGAAGTTGGATTCAAATATTCATCATAGAGGTACTTCATTTTAAAGAAACTTGAGTTTATTATAGGGATATAGTTTTAAGGGAAGAAAAGTTCATTTCTTCTAGGAAGATGAAATCAAGGAAATCCTGTTTTAAACCTGCAACAGATTAGTAGAACTCAGTTCTTCATCTCTCCCAGAGAATGCTAATTATGCATCAGAGCGCCTCCCCCACTCTTCCCCACCGGGAAGGGTTTCCTAGTTCCTAAATGAAGGTCCATTCTACAGAATGTGCACCCCTGCTAGAAGTTCACTTCAGGTTGGAATTTAAAACAAAGATTTTATACAGAGTGCAAATTAGTGGAAAATATGACTTGGTACATGTGTAGGTTATAGAAATTTTTATAAAACCGATGTAAGTTTTAGTGTTTCTGACACCCTTTTGGGTTTATATAACTGCAGAGCCTTGTTCCTGTGGTTTGCAGTCTCACTGCTAACGAAGTACAAGGGCGTACTAGTGTCCAAATGTGTTAGTCAGAAGGGAAAATAAAAATGTAGGGATTTTTTTGCAGTTCGTTTTAAAATTAACAAAAGCATGATTTGAATTGCTTTTGGAAAGATTAATGTGGAAATGTGGGGTTATGCCAATTTTTGTGTTTTTTTAGTTGTTGCTTGATAGATTAAACTTGTAATGGATACCTTAATTACAAGGTTTTGGGTGAGGATCTGCACAAAACAATACTAAAATAATATTTCACAGTTACCTTGTAGCAGTCAGCAAATTCAGTGTAAAGACCAAAGCATACCTCATTGTCTGTTCTGCTTTGCAAGTCATTTGCTAGGCTAAAACAATTTATTGCTTATTTTTCAAGTCCTGCACATGGGCAGAGAGACTGAAGCTGCTACTGGCTTTAGGTAGTTCAAATCCTTAGTCAACACAAAATCGTATTTGTTATTTTTAGCCTGTATTTTTATGGGCTGGCTGTGTGTGTCAGAGGTCTCCTTTCTTCTGAATTTGAAACAAGCTGTGAAACTACTAAGCCAGTTTTCTTGGTTTTGGGAGGCTTTTAGCGGGTCATCTCTGCTTTGTTGGTTACCTTGAAGATAAGATTATAACCTGGGATAAGAGATGTTCAAACTGTGTCCATCTAAACTGGACAACAATACAGTTTTTTTTTTTTTTTTAATTTTGTGGTAAAGAATGTGAAGCCATTTTGAAGAAGTAGATGTCTAAGTGATACCTAGACATCGTAGTGTCCGTCCGAAGAAGTAGATGTCTAAGTGATACCTAGACATCGTAGTGTCCGTCAGCACGTACTGCCTGAGCACAGCCTGTTGATTAAATATGGATCTTGCTAGGAAGTGCAGAGTTGAGAGTGTGTTTGTGACTAGAGCAGATGAATTGGGCCACATGCCCTGCTTTACCTATTAGGATTGGTTTAATTGTAGGGATTGGTCGCATTTGTAGAGAGCTCTAGTGGATAGACAGGAAGTTCTTACAGATCAAAGGGAGCAGAAATATTAGGGAACTGGAGACCGACTCTGCATGGAGTTTCGTCCATATGTTTCTTACCTGTTTGGAGAAATGTGTAGACAGGTACCAGCATCACTGGAGCCTTCCTTCCCCTTACAGTGTCCATGCCTGGGCTACCAGTCTCACTCCCTTTTTCTGCTGGTGTCCTGAGTGAGCAGAAGGAGGAAGTGTCTCCCGGGAGGTTCTGTAGGTTTGCACCACTGGTGGCATCTTTTTATCCCTTGACTCCAATGGGTTTTCAGTTTTATTTCTGCCTCTGCTGTTAAATTTCTTGGTGGGTTATAAATCTGACTACCACAAAAAAAGCCTTGGAAACTTTTGGCTCACTTTCTAATAGGTCATGATAGGGAGCCTGGCCCTTCTCTGGGGAGCAAGGGCCAGGCACCCCTAGAGCCACCAACTGGACTCTTCTCATCATCCTGGAGACTCTGTTTCCTCAGGGTGGACAAAGAGCAACTGGGCACCCGTGGACTGAGGCTGGAGAAACTTTAGCCCTACGTGGGACCTGTGGGATACTGGCATCTCCATGTGGACAGCTTCCTTGACAGAGTCAGGCACAAGCCTGAAAATGGTTTGTCCACCTTCGTCCCTCCTTGTATATTCTGCACCCTCATTCGTAGGCAGTTTTGTCTTACAGATATCCTATTAGAGGTGTGTAGCATGCACAGCTGCCAGGAAGGGGAAAGAGGCTTCTCTTTTGGAGCAGGAAAAGAGGGAGACTGAACTGATGACTGCTTTTTTTTTGATTGCTCCTTACTGTGGCTTCTAGAATCTTTCATTCTCCTTCTTTCCTTAGAGGATGAAAGTCCTGGACAGATCTATCACCGAGAGAGAAGAAACGCAATCACAATGCAGCCACAGAGTGTGCAGGGGCTCAGCAAAATCAGCGAGGAGCCTTCGACGTCCAGCGACGAGAGGGCCTCTCTGATCAAGAAGGAGGTCCATGGGTCCCTTCCACATCTGGCCGAGCCCTCAGTTCCTTACCGCGGGACCGTGTTTGCCATGGACCCCAGGAACGGTTACATGGAGCCTCACTACCGTAAGTGCTTCCTCCCTGTGGGCATTTTCTCAAGAGCCATGGGGCAGGCCGTGAGGTTGTGCGTGTGTGTGTGTGTGTGTGTGTGTGTGTGTGTGTATACACACAGGTGCATGTGCATATATGTGCTCTGTGAATTACTGACCTTGTATAACTTGTAAAAACGCTGAACTTTCCACTCTTTTCCTACTTCTACTCCTTGTCTGTTTCTCTTCTTAGAGCGAGGCATTGTCTTTACCTGCCTAAGCCATTTCAGAGCTTTTCCAGAAAGCTAGTCCACTCCTGGCAAATGCACATGGGCTTTTCCTGAGAACCGGAACCAGAGTGGCTTTGTGTAAGGAAATACTGCGGAGAAAAATTGGTTGGTGGGGGACGTTATTAAAGCAAGCTGCATTAGAAGTCTTTAATTACAACTGTTTTCATTTTTAATGATTTTCGGTTTAATGATTTTTGCTATTCCTGTGTTTAATGGTTTGTTCAAGCAGACTCTTCCAGCAAGTTGGTGTGAAATTTATTAACGCGGAAGATTTGTTTTCTGACCCACACCTTTTTTCCTCTCACCAGAGATGTTGGAAGCTCCTTTCCCAGCCCTAACAAAGTTTAAAAAATTGATCAGGACTCTTGAGTACCAGTATACAGTGGTTTTCTCCAAAGAAAGGATGCAAAGAAAAATACATAAAAGTTCAGCTTATTTCTGGCCTGTTTCTAGTTTTTTTTAAAAAAATACATTTTGGTGGTGGAATAATGAAGTTCATATTGAGGTGCCAAAGCACACAGCTCTTAATTACAGATTTATCACCTTGCCAGGGTTCCGACTTGCCATTTAACCTTTTTGGCTCCAATTCCAGATGATCCATTGAGCTCTAGAGAGGGGGACTGGTTTGTGTTTCCCTTTTTCCACATCATTCAGAAATTTTAGTGTTTTAAGGCAAAAGGTCATTAGCCAGATGACTGATTAGTGAGGACAGCTGATTAGTGCATTTTTTTTTTTTTTTCTCAAGAAAAGTGCCCAGGATAAAAGCTAATTTCATCCCTTCATTAGTTGGCTTGCAGCGAAGGGGAATGCGCACCCACCAGATCAAAGGGCCTGGCAGCAACCTTAAGTCTCAGCGACTGCCTCTTTCCCCTACCAGATTATATTGTTGGGAAAAAAAAAATGGGAGATACGTTATGTTTTAAGTGGCAACGTTGTTTTTTAAAGAAGCGGTCAGAAGTGTGGAAGCAAAGGTCTGTGGCTTCTTCTGAGGTTTTAAAAAAAGGCTACTGCTTCTCTACTTGAAAAGTGCTTATCATTCTTATGATTGCAGAGGTGGTTTCTATAGACACAGAAATACGGAGGCGACATCCGGGTCATGGACGCTTCCTTTCTTTATTTAAGCTTTTTGTTTTGTTGTGCTGTGTTGCGTTGTTTTTCTTTTCTGTTAGGAATGAAGATATTTAAAATAGTATTGGTTGGCTTTTTCTCTGGGCACGTTCTGAAATCTTCCAGTGTATTTTTATTTGTGAGCCTCCTTTAGAATCAGGGCTTCCCACCTCCCTCCTACCTGTATTTATGTACCCTGCGAGCACATTTACTTTTCTCTTTTTAATAAAGTTGAGCTGCTTGCCCACAAGCTCTCTGTATTGTTTCTGCCCTTCTGTGTGAACACAAACTTTTCTCATCGCATACTGATGTTTTGTTTTCTTTTCCAGATGCCCACTAATTAGTGAGGTATTTAATTAGTCAGGACAGCTGATGAGCACACCTCTTTTGGCTGCAGGTAGCGGGCAGGGAACCGTTAAAGTTCTCTGTGCGAACAATTGGCAGCTTGATGTTGCTTCATTTGTTTTAACGGTTTCTGGCACAGGCCTCCACTGGTCACTGGAGGGGTTGGCTCTTTCTCCACCTGGAATATCCTCCTCTCTCAGGGGTCTGTTGGGACTCACTTCCTAGGCCTCTAGTGGAATATCAACTAACACTAGGGACTGGAGAGCTCATAGTAGGATATGAATTCATTCATTTCTTTCTTTCTTTATTTTGGTCTTTTTGAGACAGGGTCTCACTATGCAGTGCGGGCCGGCCTTGAGCTCACTTTGTAGCCCAGGCTGGTCTCGAACTCGCAGCAATCCTCCTGTCTCAGCTTCCCCAGTGCTGGGATTACAGTGTGCACCACCACGCCTGGCTGAATTCATTTATTGTACCTCAGTTTTGAGGGCACAGCACCCTTAAATTGTAGTACTTCGTTTTCCCCTATATATTGTTCAAATCAGTATTAAAATTATGTGATAATTTATAAACAAGGTAAGTCATCTGCAACCAAATGGCAAGTGTGATTTTGACCTACTGTCTCAATGTACATCCTAAATTAACCGAAATAGAGTGGATCATTATGTGGATAATAGGAACAGGGAATCCTGCACATTATAGATTGGCTCAGGATGCAGGGAATTTGGATCCAAGTTCCAGTTTTTTACTTACTACCTATGTGACCTTGACCAAGTGTTCTGACCGCTCTAAGAATCATTTCCTGTCCCTTGAATAAGGGTCCATGGCATTCTTGTGTGATTTGGGACAGTGCCAATGAAGTCTGCAGTAAAATCTCTGACACATAGTGAGAAGCTCAGAATTATTAAGGTAGCTTTTACTCTTCGCTCACTACCATCACCAGGTGGTTAGTTTGGTCTCTAAACCAAGTGATTTCTGAGTGTTGCAGCGACGTTTGGTTCATTGTAGCCTGGTTTTTGTAGGCTCCCTGAAACAGTGCCTCCACAAACGCAGATTAGCAAACAAGTGGATTAGACACCTGAGGAAAAGACTTGAAATTGTTAGAATTCTGCCCCCTGACTTTTCTAGAGATAACCCTTTCTCACTGCACTTCAGTAGACCGATTATGATTGTTTTCTAGTTTGTAAGGAAAAACAACACAGAGCTTTTGAATGTGCTTGAGAAGTCTTGCATTTTAAATGCTTAGCAGAAAGTGTTTTATGTACAAATACAAACTTAATAGATGCAGAAAAACGAAAGGTGCAGTAGTACTTATTCATACGAAATGATGTAAAGATAGCTAAAGCGAAGCCTTTAGATTCGGATAGGACATGATTTGACCATTTTTAGAGGTTATAACCTCTACAAAGGGTTACTGGACTTCTGTTGGGATCACTGTCATTTTTTTTTAGGTACTTGGTGATGAAATCTACTTACCGCCTAAGGATTTAATTAGCCAAGCAAAGCTAATGACGGATGTGGGCTGAAGGTGATCAATTTCCTCAGAATTTTTTTGTATGGGTGTATTTGAAAAGTACCCTCTGTTTACAAGTTATAAAATTCTGGTCAGATTTGTCCTGGTCTGCAGGACTGACCACAGCCCATGTGCACTGCAGACCTTCGGACTCTCAAGGTCGAGAAACATCCTAGTGGGCTGGTGATTTTCCCTCCAGCTGTTTGCCAGCTTAGTTAGAGAGAAGAGACTCCTCCAACCCTGTCCCCCTGGCTCCGGGAGCGCATGCAGTGATTCCTTCATTTCTCTGTGGTTGGAAAATGTAGACTTTTCAAAATGTTTAATTTGTGCTTCTATATATACTGACTTTGTATTTCTAAAGTGTGGGTAGGCTTCCTGTAAGACCGGAAAAGAGGAAAAAAAAAATCCCTCCCCCTTTTTTCTCCTTCAGAAGGACATCTGTAAGATTTTTATTGCACAAGATTCTATTATACTTGGGTATGCAATGTTGTATCTTCACAAGTTGTAGTTAGGCAGCAGTCAATGTATTTTAGGTTTTGTGGGTTTGATTTAAAAAAAAGAAAAAGAAGAAAACGGAGGAATAGCGGGCACTTCAAACATCCACCACATATGTTGGGAATAAAATCCTCGAAGGGGGTGCAGGCATGCTGTCTCACGCAGGGTCGCTGTGTGTGGATGGGCTGTATATCAAGGCAAGAAGGCAGAAGAGCCAGCAGCATGCATAGCTCAGACCTGGGGTGGTGCTGACAGTCTCTGGGCTGTAGGACCACTCGTACTTTATAATGCGGGAGACTGTAGGGGGCTGGATTTGGGGGTCGGATATGCTTCTCTTGCAGTCAGGAAGAGAGCCCTCATCTCCTGCCTAAATATTTCTCAGTAGAATTTTCTATACCTGCTCCATTTGTAGCCAGATATTTTAAACCACCATTACCCTCTGTTTTCAGTTACTGCTTGGCATTTTTTTATTGTTTTATAAACTTGCACAGGCAGGTGACATAATAGTTCAAGCATTTCTATACCCTGACCGACACTTAACTTTTATTCTTTTCCCTTTTACAGAAAACATGTGTTTTACTGTCTTCCCTCTTACTGTGAAGAGGTTAATTTTCAAACTGTCCCTACAGGGATCTTTGCGTGAAGTTTCTTGGATCCCCTGGTCCTGTCCTTCAAGGCCTCCGCTGGTTTGGGGGTGGGGGATAAAGAAAAAAAAAACATTACTAACTTTCCCCAAAGCCCAGGTTCCTTTTACAGTTTTATAGCTGTGTGAAGACTGTTTTTTGCCTCTGCCCCCAACTGCTCCCAAGCAGTAATTCCTCATGGAAAATGTGATTCATTCCTTCATGCAAATGCTTTGATTGAAAACACACTGCTGGTATTCTTCCTTATATTTCCCAGCTCAAATGACAGAACTATTAGTTGCTAATTAGCAAAACCTGAGGAATTCGCTGAAAGAAAAGAAACTGAATTTTTAATTGGCTTGCATTTATTTTCTGTAAAAAGCTGTTGTGCTAGGCCAACTTGCATTCCTGTGTACTGAAAAAAAATGCACATTTTTTTTCTCCTACCTGTCTGTCTTTGTATTAGGTGACTTTCCACACCCCTTAGAAATACAGCTTGTGAGTAAGTAGAAGAGGATGTGAATTTTACATATTTAATAGGTGCACCTGCTCACATTTCTGTTACCATCCCGGTGTCATCTTGAGACTGTGAGACACAAAAATGCCCACAAGGCACGAAGGAGGGGTTTGCTGTGGACCAAACTGCAAAGGCAGTGACAGTTCCCTG